CTTTTTTTTTTTTTTTTTTTTCTTTCCTTGCATGAAATGCAAATCAATAGATGTTGTATTCACATTCTAACAAGATGTCAAGGAGAAAAGGGTAGCCTTTCATTCAGGCAGAGACACAAACACACAGAGGGAGAGGAGGGGGGGCAGGAGGGGACAGGAAGGATGGAGGGAGGGATGGAGGGAGGGGGCGGGCACCGGGGCTGCCTCTCTGTGCCATGCTGGGCGTTGCAGCCAGGGGAGGGGGGAGCAGCGGGGGTAAAACCCTCAATCACGCCAGTTTTTTGATATTTTCTTGTTTCCTCAAAGCCTGGGGGAGCCCAATCTCCTGCTTCGCTCCCCCAGCAGCTCACAGCCCCGAGGACAGCAGCAACCCAGCAAGTGAGCGCTTGGGGTCTTGGCAAAGAACCAGCCCTGCGGAGAGGTGCAGGGGGAGCTGGAAATTTCCCAGGATTGGGCTGGGAAAAGGTGATCCATGGAGGCGGGTGCTGGGTGGCTGGGAAAGAGAGCAGGCGGGCGGCCAGGACGAGGCTGGTGGCCCACGGGACCTGGTGGCTGTCGGAGAGACGCTGGATGCTCTGCGGTGTGTGGTCCTGTGGTCGCGCAGCCCTTGGCCTCTTGTTCGAGGGGTTGGGGTCAGGCTGGTGAAGGCTGCTTTGAGGCCTGTGTCCTGGGGACATGTGGCTGGATGTCGTGGTGGAGCGTTGGGGAACAGGAACAGAGCTGCTCTGCACCCCCCATGCTCCTGATTTTGGGGTGCCCCCCCTTCCCTGGCCGTGCAAGCAGAGGGTGAAGGAATCTCAGCTTTACTGAAGACTGAAGTGTTTAACTTGCCCCAGAGACCAGGCTGGTCCCAGATGTGAATATGCATTGAGGCAGCTTGGGAGAAATCCCTCTGAAAACACACGCAAAAATCATGTTAAAATGTGCCCAGCGAACCATAATGTCTCCTCACAGATCAGGTGCTGTCTGTCAAATTGAAATATGCATTTTAGATTCTCTGCCTGATATCAAAAGCAACCCCAAATATCCCAGAAAAGTTCCACCAGCTAAATGCATATTTATACTTTTTTTTTTTTTAATTTATTTTATTTTTATCTTAGAAATCAAACAAATGAAACAGGCAGTACCCTGTTTGGTCCTGGAGAGCTAGTGAGCAGTGATAGATTAGTTTGCCTGATCAAAACGCATTTGTTCCCATTTTGCAGATGGGAAAGCAAAGGCATCGATATACTAGAGGTCTGGTCCGAGGTCATCCTTTGAGCTGCGCTTGGCAATTTGGGTGCCAGCCTAATTGGCCAAAATAGATGCAAGGAGAGCGACTTAAGTGTGTGCTGGGTTTGGTTAATAGTCATTGCCAGGTGAAGGAAAAAAAAAAAAAAAAAAGCATATGGGATTAATGTGGTGGGAGGGAAAAAAAGTAAGAATGTGTTGTTTTTAAATTTGCCCAAATATAGCTTTTCAACTTGGGTTTTGAAAGCAGAGCAACATGTTTGTTCTGAGCCCATCAAACATCTCTGTTAATTAGAAATGATTTCTTTGTTCATTTCCTTTAGTTCCTCGAGGATAACAATATTTCTTTTTGCCTTGGGCGGATTCAAAGCTCGCTCTGTGGGTTTTGGAGAGTGAGCTGTAGCCGGAGGGTTCAGCTGAGCTCCCCCCCAGGCAGCTCAGTCCCCTCTGGGGACAGATGTCCCCGTCCAAGTCCTAGACTGTCCACGTAGGACTAGGACGTGGGCACGTGTCTTGCAGCCCTGGGAAATCCCAGATGCCTCCTTGCAGCTGGTCTCCCAAAACACTTGTGAAGCAAAGGGTGAATTTGCTTGACGTCGGCTGTTTGGGTATCAGTTAAAGGGAAATTCCGGATAGAAATATCGCCATCCTCATCTCAAGCCGAGTGAGACACTAGGCTCGTTGTTTTTTATTCAGTGCGATGATTTAGCTCTTTTAGAGGTCAAGGTTACTGCACACAACATAACTTTAATCCTGTTAAAAGAGGAAAGCCCCTGGGTGCGTTACTTTTGGCATGCTCCTAAGGATGCAGGAGATGGGATGCCTTCAACGGATAGTGTGGGAATGTGGTTAAGTTAAAAGCTTTTAAAAACTTGTGGTTTATTCATGCAGAGTAAAAATGAATAGAGATTAATGGCTAAAAGCCAGAGAAAGTTCGTCCCGGCAGCGCGTGCTCATCTCCCATCGCTCGCTGGGTGAGGGTACCCCCTCAGGAGCACGATGGATACGGCTCTGCTCCCCGAAAGCACCGTTTCTGTTCCTCCTGGTGCTGCTTTGTACAAAAATAATGTGAGATAAGAGGTGTGTGCATGGAGGGGGATGCGGTGCCATCTATGTGATTAGTCTGTGTCATGCTGCGACAGGTGGGTGGGAGAAACCTGGGGAAGAAAGATAGCAGTTATTGGGGTTCTGTGTCTGGGTTTGGATGCGAGGTGTTTGGTGGCAGAGAGGAGCTGGAGGGCCCCAGCCCCGACTCTGTCACAGATTGGGGGGATTAATGTTTGCAGCTGGGTGTTTGAGGATGCATCATCCTTCCAGAAATCATGCACGCTCGATGTGGAGCGTCTCTTTTTCTGGAAACTCCCTGAGATGATGAGTTTAATGCATAAAGGAGTCTCGAGGGAGGAGAGTCCAGGGAACTGATGTGTCCTGGAGGACCAGGGGTGGTGAGAGGATGCCCAGGCAGATGAGCACAGAGCAGGATGAAACCCTGGCTTGGGAGATGCGGGGATGGAGGAGTTTGTGACCGCTGGTGCCAAAAAGCTGTGGTGGGTTGATAGCTGGTAGTCCAAAGTGTTGGCCTGAAAGTATGGATGGGCTGGCCTGGAACCCAAAAAGAGACCTTTGGCTCTGAGTTAGTGGGAAAAGAGATTATTTTGAGCAAAACTAAACATTTTATTTTGTCCTTAAGCATTAAAGTACGCTTACAGTTTATTTTTAACACAGCTGCAATGAATGCAAAATAAGAAACTTTTTTGGTTTTGTTGTTTAGAAAATGTCAAAAAAAAAGTGCCGTTTCTTTCAGAAACTTACCTTTGCAACCTTTTTTTTTTTTTTTTTTTTGGCAATACAGCAAACTCAAGCTCTAGCTGGCAAATGCATTGATCTGGGGGTGACTGTGGGAGGGGGGACATGGAGGGGCAGCCTGCAGAGAGGTAGGAAGCTGGAACCGATGCCTTGTGCTGGGGATGCTCAGGGCTTGGCAAGGGGGTGGGAATGTGCCCAGGGAGGTCTGGGGAAAAGCAGGGATCCAGGCGGGGTGGGGGAAGCTGTGGCAGCCTAGAAGGAGAGGAATATATTAGAGAGCTGGAGGAAATACTCTTTGGCCATGGTGGGAATGGGATGGTATTGTGTAGGGGGTCTGCAGGGGCAGGTGTCCAGGGCTCAGCATCCTTTTGGGGCTCTGTGAGCCTGCTGAAGGGAAAAAATACAGCTCTGGTGGGGATGCACGAGAAGATTCCTTCTTGGTTTCAGAGACTTTTGTGTGAAAAACACCCACTCATGCTAAAAAGCTTGGATTGCTCGCCGGTTTGCCTCTCTTGGCAGTAGGCAGAGCTGCCAGTGGCTTCCTGGGGAGGGGAGCAGAGCCCACAGAGGGGCAGGGGCGAGCCAAGGGGCTGAAGCCCTGGGCTGCCCCACTGGCCAGCTCCAACCTGGGGGGAAAAAATATTTGCGAGCCCCTTTGCAGGCAGCTGGTGCAGGCGGAGTCGGCGGGACAGTGCCTGTCCCTCCATCCCGGGTACCAATGCTGGCCGGCGCTGGGAGGGATGCTCAGGGGGTCGATGCCCGCATTTAACTCCCCGGTTGCAGAGTGAGACCCGCAGAAGAGCAAGTGTGCGTGTGTCAGTCAGCATCTCGAACCAATGGATGCCTGGTAGGAGGTCTGCTTTCCCCCGTGCACACACTGAGCCTGGTGCTCCTTCTGCTAGTTGTGTGCGTGCGTGCGTGTGCAAGGAAAAATCAGAGACACTGACTGCCTGCTCCCGTCTCTCTCTCTCTCTCTCTCTCTAGCTCACTAACTCAGTCTCCCTCCCTCTGCAAACATTGGATTTAAACCTGCTCAGAATTCAACGCAGACGAAAGCAGCGGCGGCAGCAGCAAGCAGCAAGCGAATCAGCCGCTAGTCTACCGCAGCTCCAAGATGTACCATCCTGCCTGCTGGATCGTCTTCACGGCCACCACTGCCCTGCTCTTCATCCCAGGTAGTGCAAAAAGCTTGCTTTTTTTTTTTTTTTTTTTTTTTTTTTCCAGGGGATAGGAGGGTATCGGCTGGCAGGGTGAGAAAGCCGAGCGCTGTGCGCGCGTGGGGGACCCGGACTTCATGCACATTGCGCACGAACGCGCACACAGAGGCAGCGAGTTGCTCTGCAGCAGGGAATTGCCAAGTGCTCCCAGCGAGTGGGGTTCAAACAGCCGTGCCTGTACCCCCACAGCAGGGCTGGCCACCCCCCACCATCACTGCCACCGTGCCGGGTGGTCCTCGAGCCATGCTGGCACCTGCGGTGGGGGCTGTCCGGGCTGGGCAGAGTCTGTTCCCTCTGGCAACCTCTGGCTGTAAATGATGGGGTCACTGAGCTTTATCCCCCCTTCAAAGTTGGGCACCTGCTGTGCCCTCCCGCGCTGTCACGCTATTCCCCGCGTTCCCCCTCATCGCTGCTTCCTGACAGGCAAACTCGGGTGTCTGCCCCTCGCTCCTTTTTGCAAAGTGAAAACGAACCCCCCGATCCGGGCACCCCAGGGGGGGACCACGTCGGGCTGCGGCGAAGGTGCCGCAACCTCCCCGAGCTGAGCAGGCGGCTCCCAAAATGTGGGCTGGCTTCTTCCCCGTGGCTTTGCCAGGGGGAGGGCGAGGGAGGGGGGGAGATGGTGGGTTGGGATCCAGGCGCTGAGTGCTCGGCGAGCGGGTCGCAGCGGGGCAGCGAGCGCAGCCCTGCACTGCATCTGCGGGGAGGGGAGCGATAGGGGTGGACGGCAGAGCTGCATGCCGAGGGAGGCGGAGGGGGCACGGAAAAGTGGCCGGCATTTTTTTTTTTTTTTTTTTTTTTTTTTTTTTTTTTTTTTTTTTTTGAGGATGATGTGCACTTTTATAGCAGCTGAAAAATTTACGGTCCCTGTGCGAGCAGATGGAGACTGGGTGTCGAGGCTCAGATCCGTTCTTAACCCAACATGTGTTTTTCATGACTGTCAGCGAGAATTACATTGGACTCGGGAGGGCAGGGAAGAGGCACAGCTATTATTTCAGCAGCTTTCCGTGGTTTAGTTACAGTGCTTTGCTGTGCAAGGCTGGCGTGTGTGGGAAGAGGCTGAGGCTGGCAGGGGAGAGGTTAGCTGTGTCACAGCTGGAAAACGGCTCTTCCCACAGCTGTGATGAACATGAGGGGACTCGGGCTCGAACTTGCTTGCGGAGGCTCGTGCGTGGGACATCATCCACATCCCGGGGTGCTGTGGCAGAGCGGTGCCACGCTGCAGCCCGAGCCCTGGGATGAGGCTGGGTGCCACCGATGCTTCGTGGGGTTGGGGCGGGGTGTGATACGTGTTAGCCCTGGGCCTCTGCCAGCAGCACCTCAAGCCAAAATGCTGCACCTGTACTTTAGCCCGTGACAAGGGTGACGCGGCTGCGTGAGCTGCCTGACTTCACCGAATGCAAGGGGACGGTGGTGTCTTAGTGAAAATATTATCTTGAGCAAGGTGAGGCGGGTGTGTCTGGAGCGGGGGCAGCTCGCTGTGCCGAGTAGAGCATTAGCTCTTGCACCCTCTTGCTAGAAGAGGTTCCTCTGGGTCGAAATTGCAGAGAAATGGATGCGAGGCAGCTGTGCGGGTCAACTGGGAGATGTGTGACACTTGATGGGCCGTCATCGAGGTGTCCTTGCACTGGCAGAGACCTGCCACAGAGCATTGGCAGTTTGCTGGTGCCCTGCAGTTTCCTCAGGACGTGGCTTTTTGGCCAGAGGGCTGGGCTAGCCCTGACATCTGTGTGTGCCAGGGCAGGAAAAGGCCCGCGCGTTTAAACCCCCAGTAACTTGGGAGAGGTTTCCTGATCCGCGCTTACACGGTTGTAGCTTTCCCTTCTTATTTCTCTTAAGCAGCAATATCTGCTTTGGCTTTGACCATCCCCTGAGCTAAACCAGCCCAGGACTTTGCCCAGCTGGGCTCAGCCGTTAATCCATCAACTGAAACCTGCTGCCTGCATTAAGGAAGGGAAATATTCCCGTGCGCTGGGCCGGCTGCTTGGTGCTTTGCCTTCCTGCCCCACACCAACCGCTTTCTGTCTCGCAAGCACAGGATTTGAACATCTCCTCTCCTTTTTATTTTTGCTATGGCTTGCCGAGGTTGGATGTTTTTTTTCTCTCCCTGCCCAACCTGACCGCAGCACTGATACCAGTTGTGGTTTCGCTGCTGCGGGCTGTAACACAAGTGGTGTTGGCAAAGTCGTCCTGGATGGCAGCCGGTGCGGAGCGGAGTCAAATGGTCCCTGCTGGCCCTTTTTTTTTTTTTTTTTTTTTTTTCTGGGAGGGGCTGTTTATTATTTGCAAGCGTAATCCCACGTGTTTTATGCAGGTGACGCTCCCCTGGGATATGCAGAGGCTGTTTGTGAAGTGTGAACTCTTTCCCTCTCCGTTTTTATCCAAATCCTGCGGGAGTTTCACACGGGGTGGTTAAAGTGAGAAGGGAACCTGCTTTTAGAAGGTGTAATTAGAGTGAAGGGAAACATCACAACTTGAAGGCTCCTGCAGAAAATAGCATCGCAAAGTTATTATTAGCTGTAATAGCTTATTTGCCAGTTTTTTCCTCTTTCTCTTGCTCCCACCTCTGTTCTTCCCCCCCTATTACTTCTGTTAGGAAAGATGCGTTTTTCCCATCGGGGCTCATGTCGTCTCGTTACCAATTTACTCTTGTGGAATCTAAAGACACGAAAGGTTAATGCAATAATGAAACCCTGACCCCTCTGGTCATACATTGCGTCTTACTCTGCAGCTTTTTATTTCTCTGTAAGACAAGTTTCCATCCAAAATAATTTCAAAGGCTTAATGCTGTTGTCATCTGGTGCTGTGGGGGAGGCGGGTTCCTGGACATCAGTTGCTCTGAGGTGGGCTCTTTCTGATGGGAAGGATGCTGAGGATTTTTTAATGAGCCCAGCGCTGCAGGATGGGGAGGTGGAGTGGGTAATTTAATTGTCAAGCTATCAGCAAATGCTCTGAGCTGCTGGGCATTTTGGGTGCTGCTGTTTTGAGATGTACTGGGGTGGGCTGTGATGCCTTGTAGAATGAATTTGGGGCAGGGGGGAGTATATTCGGCTAATCCGCAGTTACGGTGTGACATCATGGCTCTACAGGTGGCAAAAAATCAATGCACATCAGCTTTTGCAGACATTTATATTGCTGCCTTTGCTGGCTTAGCGAAATGACTTGTCATGGCAGCGGCTCCTTTCGGAGGTCAGAAATCTGGCAGCGCTGGGTGAGATGGACAATCCAGTTTGTGACTGCTCCCGGGCATCGCGGCCAAAGTAAAGCTTGAAGAGCTTAGAGAGTCCCCAGGTGCTCTGCCATCGCCCCTTTCACCTGGGACCTGCTTTCTGCATCCCGCCCTGGGACATTTTAGCAGTGCAACCCCCCACTTCCCCTTCCTCACCCTTGTTGGGGCAACATGGCTTTGGTGGTAGTTGTAAATCCAATCTAAAGTTAAGAAACGGACACTGAAGGAGTTAAAAACACCTTTCTGTCCCTTTCTAGTATGCAGCTCCTGCCACAGGAGGATGCTTTTCCCGCTGCCACCACAGCCTATGACATGGCCATCACCTCCCTCCATCCGGGCTGGCAGAGGGCTGATGGTCCCTGCCACTAAGCCCAAGAATAAATACCTGGAGCATGTTAGTTCTGCTTTAGTGTCATTTCAATATGAGCGAGAGGGACTTAAAGGGATTTTCTGTGCTCTCCTAAAGGCTGGGAATAGTAGTGGATAAGGTATTACAGCCATCAATCCTCCATCGGTCGGAGATGCTTGTCCCAGCAGGACGAGGAGCATCAGCTGCACTGGTGGGCATCAGCCCAAACCCACGGCTTGGTCTTCCTCTGCCTGAGCTTCGGGCTGTAGTTTCCCTGTCAGAGGTTGATTCCTCCATCCTGTGGCTCTTGGGACAGGGAGAAAGCTGGCGTCGGCCATTTAGAGGATGTTTTGTTTCTGCTGGGGTGGAGCAGCACTTGCTCTCATTTCCAAGTGACGCGGGGAGGGAGGGCGATGGGAGAACAGGCACACGCACCTTTTGCTCAGTGTAAATCCCCGCGGCACAAGTTTTCAGTACAATTTCAGACCAATTTGCAGGTTTTGGGACCAGTGTCTCTGGCAGCTGCCTTCCAGGATGCCCCAAAGTGGCGAACCTTGCTTTGTGTTTTCCAGCAGCTTCTCTTTGACAGTGTCTCCTTTGTGCGTTCAGTAGTTGCAGGCGGCCGGGTGGAGGAGCTTTGCTGGTGCGAATCCCTGTGAAAACCTGAAAAAGGAGAAATGTTTCAAAGGCACCGATGGGAGCTGAGTGCCTTAACTGGTGCCTTTGAAAATCTTCCCCAAAGGCTTGAATATTTGGTTATGGCGAATTTCAAGCTGCATAAACAGCCGTGTTTGTATTTTACACTTGAATATGCAATTTGAAGTTTGCGCTCTGCTCGGTCGAATCCAAAGTCACTGGGTGAGGAGCAGGGAAGGAGGCTGCTGGAGTGCTGCGACGAGCCACATTCGCGGGGCAGCAGGGTACCCAGGAGGATCCTTTTGCTGCCGTCAGATGGGAATAGAGGAAAACTTGTGTGGCTTTTTTTTTTTCTGTAAATCCTTCATGACCCTGTGGTCAGCCTGAGCTTTGCAGCCCTATCCTTTTCCCCTCCCCGGTTAGGCAAAGCCAGACACTGCTCCCTGTCTCTCCTTATCTTCTGTCCTGACCATCCCCTGAGATGCTCTCAGCTGCTGGTGTGTGCAGGATGGGGAATAACCTCAGCTCTCATGCTTCTTTTTGTTTAAACTTAAAAATAACAGCAGCTCTGCTGCAAATCTCCTTGCCTCCCAGTCATCTCTCCCTTTCCCTAATGAAGGCATGGTACTTATAATTACCAACACGGCAACAGCACATACAGAGGTGGCTTTGACACTTGCTGCTCTGTGGGTGGGTTTTTCCAGGGAACTCCTCTTCGTTTCATGCTTAGAGGAAAAAAACACT